GAGTTACCCGAGTAGTTCAAAGAATGTGGATTGTATCTTTTTTTTTATGAGGCAATTGGGGTTAAGTGACTTGCCCAGAGTCACACAGCTAGTAAGTGTTATGTGTCTAAGGCTGGATTTGAACTCGGGTCCTCTTGTCTTCAGGGCCGGTGCTCTATCCACTGTGCCTACTAGCTGCCCCAGTTGTATCTTATTCTTAAATTTGCATCTGCAGCACTTAATATTAATGCCTAACATCTGAGTACCCTTAGGCAGCTCTCTAAGATTAGTTGAAGCCCAGGTGCACGTATGGGTTGTTAGTGGAAGTGTCTCATCCAGGCCCCTTATACCAATGAAATCAAAGGGTTGGAGGAGAGGGGGAAAAAAAAAAAAGACCTACATAGTAGACATGTAATAAGTATTCTTTGGCTGAGTGAGTGAATGAATGGCAGGATTAGAGACAACCACAAATTATGACACAAGCTTTCATTATAGCATTCACTTTATAGCTTTCAAATGCTTTTCTTACAAAAACCAGGTGTTGTAGGTAGTATGAGCAGAAATATCTTTATGTTACAAATAAGAAAATTGAGACCTAAAAATGTAAAGGATATGGCCAATTTGGAATTAGCTCCCCTTTGAACTAGTTTGCATGCAGCTTCTCATCTGAGCTTCTATATAAACCAGTGTCAGTAAATATTAAGTGCCTTCGATGTGCTAAGTAGAACAAATAGCAGTCCTTATTCTCAAGTCTAATGGGGGAGAGACAAGCAAACAACTGTGTACTAAGAAGCTATATACAGGATAAACAGAAAATAAGAGAAGGAAGGCATTAGAATCGAGAGGGGTTGGAAAATAATGGCTTCCTATAGGGATTTTAATTGAGACTTAAAGCCAGAAAAGCCAGTAGGTGGAGTTAAGGAAGGAGAGTTTTACTGGCATGGGAGTCATCCAGAGAAAGTACCCAGAGCTGAGATTGAGTGCTTTGTTCTTGAAACAGCAAGGGGAACCCTGTCATTGGACTGAAGAGTATGTGTTGAGGAGTGAGGTGTAAGAAGATTGGGAAGGTTAGAGGGCTATGTTATGAAGGGCTTTGAAAACCGAACAGGATTTTGAATGTGATCCTAAGAAGCCAAAGGGAGCCACTAGAATTTTTTAAGGAGAGAGATGATGTCAGACCTGTGCTTTAGGCAAATCACTTTAATGGCTGAATGGACGATGGATTAGAATGGGGAGAGTCTTGAGGCAGGCAGACCCACCAGCTGGCTAATGTGGTAGTCTAGGCCTGAGGTGAAGAGGGCCTATACCAGAGAAAGGTGGCAGTGTCTGTGTATAAGAGAGATGTTGCAGAGGTGAAACCAGCCAACCTTGGCAACAGTTTGGCTATGAGGGGTTAGAGGTAGTGAGGAATTCAGGATGACTTCTAGGTTGTGAGCGTGAGGGATGGAAAGATGGTATCCTCTATAGTAATTTTTGTTGTTCAATCGTTTCAGTCGTGTCTGACTCTTTGTGACCCCATTTGGGGTTTTCTTGGCAGAGATATTGGAGTGATTTGCTATTTCCTTCTCCAGTTTATTTTACAGATGAGGAAACTGAGGGAAACTGGGTTAAATGACTTGCCGGGGGTCACACAGCTAGTAAGTGTCTGAGGCCAGATTTGAACTCAGGAAGATGAGTCTAACTGGCTGCAGACCTGGCACTGCACCATTAGGAAGGTAGTAGTAGTGGGGGAGATTTTAGGAGGAAAAATAATGAGTTTCATTTTGAATATGTTGAGTTTAAGCTTTCTACTGGATATCTAGAGGTGATTGAAAGGTAGTTCAGTGATGTGAGATTGGAAGTCAACAGAGATACTGGGGCAGGATAGGTAGATTTGACAACTGGATGGCTCAGTAGGTAAAGCAGTAAGATCTTCAGTCAGGAAGATCTGAGTTCAAATGTGACCTCTGACACTTATTAACTATGTTGCCCTGGGCAAGTTACTTAGCCTCTGTTTACTTTAATCCACTGGAGAAGGAAATGGCAAACCACTCCATTGTCTTTACCAAGAAAACTGTAAGGATAGTATGGATCATGAAAAGTGAGACATGTCAGAGGGAACAGGTAGATATGAGGAAGATTATAATTAAATCCATGTGAGCTGATGAGATCACCAAATGAAGTAGTATGGAGGGAGAAGAGGACCTAGGACAGAACCCAAAACCGTCTGAAAGTCATCAGTTGGTAGGTATTTGTTAATCACTGCTCTAATTAGCTAATCTACATTGTAGCAGCTTTGGTTGCTGCAGTTTTGGCTGCTCTAAGTTTCAGTTTTCTTATCTGCAAAATGGCATTCATAATGGTACTTCACTTACAAAATATTCTTGCCTAAATTTGTTTCTGATTTCTTCTAAGAGTTTAATTCTGTTTTGGACCAATTTGGAGTTTCTTGCAATCAATGATTTCTCAGAGTCTATAAGGTAGTCTTGTAATGAGTAATATTTAGTCAGTCAACAAGAATTTATCAAACACCTCTTATGTGCCAGGCATTCACTATGCTTGATGCTGAAAATAAGACAAAAATAAAAGTCTGCTCCCAAGAACCTTACATTTTAAAGGGGGAACAGTACATGCTTATGTAAGTATATACAAAGTAAATACATGTAGTTAAGGCACTAGCAGTTGTGGATCAAGAAAGGTTTCTCACAGAATGTGGTCCTTGAGCTGAGACTTGAATATTAGTTGATTTTCCTTTATCATATTTATTTGAGGTACTTCGAAGTTTTTGTTTTTATTTTTTTTCTGTCTTCTTTGGTTTATCTGCTTGTAGGCCAGATTTTTGTATAGGTTTTTCTTTTTTTTTTTTAGGCAGTTGGGGTTAAGTGACTTGCCCAGGGTCACACAGCTAGTGAGTGTCAAGTGTTTGGTCTGAGGCCGGATTTGAACTCAGGTCCTTCAGACTCCAGGGCCGGTGCTCTATCCACTGTGCCACCTAGCTGCCCCCTGTATAGGTTTTTCTTGATCAAAATTTCATCTTGGAGCATTTTCCTAATATTCCCTGCCTCCTAATACTTTGGGAGTATTCTTTACCTTTACCACTACAGCACAGATCCTGGCCCAAGCTGGGCTGCTGGGTGCCTTTTGTCTCCTGATGTTGGGGAATGTAGTATGGCTAGGTGGGGGTTAGATCTCTACCCTGAGTAACCTTCAGGCGATAACAACTAGTACAATCTAGGGTTCTAACTCATGTTGCCTTAGTCTTAATGCTTTATTCTACTCTAGTCCCTGTGACCTGGAGCACTGAGTGGAACATACCTTTCATCTGTCACACCTTTCCTTTTTCTTTGGCAGAAGCAGTGTTTACTGCTTCTTGCTTTTTTGGGGTGGATGGTGTGACAGGGTGTTAGAGCAAAGCTGCATGATAGTTTCCTAGAACTGGAGCCTAAATAAATTCTCTGGTGTTATTAATATATGAACTTTTTACCTTGGGTGGTGGTGGTAGTGTTAAATAAGAAAGGGGGTATTTCTGTCTTTTTGTGGATTCAGCTGTATGTATATCTGACAGCATAAGTCCTTGTATATGTCCGCTGCTATAATTTTCAGGGTTTTTTTTTTTTTTGTCTTTTTGTTTTTGAGGTGATTAGGGTTAAGTGACTTGCCTAGGATCACACAGCTATTAAGTGTTTGAAGCCAAATATTAATTCTGGTCCTTCTCACTCTAGGGCCGGTGTTACGTTCACTGCACCACCTAGCTGCCCAAATTATTCTCATTTTTATCTTTTTTGATTGGATAGAAAGATGTCTTGCTAATCTTTTGTGTTTATTCTGTTGATTCTCACAAGTGGATAAAATATTTCCTTTTTGAAGTTGAATAAAAGTATTAGAATGTAATGTGGTCTTCTAAAGATCCACCAAGCAGATCTTAGGATTCTTCAGTTTTAGATAAGATGTAACATGTACCCTACCTTATTCCTACATGGTTTTGATTTCTTCCATAGGTCTTTTATGGAATTCAAATAGGAACAGCCTTGGAACAAGTTGCTGTCCTGCTTTCCTATTTAATGTTCTATGTAGTAGTATTGGATAAGTTGGCAAAATAACTTTTTTCAATTAAATGGAAGTGTTTGGATATGATCTCATTTTCTTATTTTATTTTCCTGTTTCATGCTGTATAACTCCCATGCACCAGGCTTTTATATTCTTTAATATATTTCCAGATAATTTGTGGCACATTTATGAAATTATTTTGGATTAGAATGTTAGTGATAAAAGAAACTTCATAGACCATCTGTCTACTCCAACCCTTCTGTTTTGCAGATAAGGAAACTGTGGCCCAGATTGTGAAATTTACTTGCGTAAGGTCACAGAATATGTTGGTGGTGGTGAGCCATAGAGACTGTGGACCATTCCCTTGATCTTTATGGTTCTTAGACAATCTCTAAGGTTCCACGTGCAAGTGGTCACAGTCTTATCATTTTAAATCCAAAACAATGTGACATAATTGTATGAGTTTGAGAGGGAGTGGAAAAATTGATCCTGACCTTTTGATTTCATTTGTGTTAGAAACTCCCTCTACCATTCAAGTTAACAACCAAAGTGCAATTTATCATATTAGAGAATTTCTTAGGAGCATTGAGAAATGTAAGTAGTTCTCCCACAAAGCCAGGATGTGCTAGAAGCAAGACTTGAACTCACGTCTTCCTGATATCAGTGCTGTCTAGTCATTACACCACACTGCCTCTCACATATAAAATAGTAGGCCTAAAATAGTATTACAGTACTCAAATATTTCATGAACTTAGCTTTAGAGAGCAACAGCAGCTTGGGTTATGAATTGTATGTTCATATTCTTCCATCGTTTGATCTGCTATTGAATGTAACTATTGTATTAAATATTAATACAATATGGTAACTTTATGAACATGTGGCTCTACTATATATTTTTATAAAACAGGGCTTTAAAATAACCATAATTGTATTTTATAAGGTGTTTGCAAGTTATTTGGATTGGAGATATTTAACTTTTTTTCTTCTCTTTTTAGTAAAATCCTGCAAAAATGTCTTTATATCCATCGCTTGAAGACTTGAAAGTAGATAAAGTAATTCAGGTATATTTAAGCATATTTTTCTTTTTCTTTTTTTTTTTTTTTTGGAAGGGTGGGGAGGGGAGGATGAAAGGGGTTACTATAAATATTCTTGATATAAATGAAGAATAAGAATGAATGCTCAAGGAAAAATACTAAAACAGTATTTTTACCTTCTGTTTCCTACCATTACTCTGCAGTTGTTTAGTTGATGACTTGAGATGCAGATTAAAACATGGTTTCTGTGAACTGATTCTTCTCACACAGCTTTTGAAAGTTTGATGCCTCCATTTATAACATCAACTATGACATTACTTGCATCTCTTTGTTCTCTTTTTAGAAGTCATTTATTTGCTCTAATATAGTGAAGCTGTTTTCTACTTTAAGCTGGGCAGGATGGGCAAAATGGTCATCTAGTCCAACCCTTACATCACAGAATAATTTTCAGGATAACACATCTGACAAGTGGTAGTTATCTAGTCTTTGCTCGTAGACACACATTGAGACAGCCCGTTTCACTTTGAAATAGTTCTAGTTGTTAGGAAATTTTTCTTGATATAAAGACCATATTTATTTGATAGTTGTCTCCCCCATTAGATTGTGAGCTTCTTGTGACAGGAAATGTCTTCTGCCTCTTTTTGTGTCTTCAGTATTTTGTACAATATCTGGCACATAGTAGGTGCTTAAGTTTATTTTTTGTGAGGCAGTCAGCATTAAGTGACTTGCTTAGGGTCACACAGCTATTAAGCATCAAGTGTCTGAGGCTGGGTTTGAACTCAGATACTCCTGACTCCGGGGCCAGTGCTTTGTCCATTCTGCCACTTAGCTTCCCCTGGTGCTTAAATTTTTATTGACTGATTGACTTATATATTCTTATGTGAAATGGACCCAGGATCCATTGCTGTTCTGGTTATCTTAGATACGTTCTGTAGCTTATCAGTGCCCTTCCTAAAATGTGGTTCCCAGAATTGAACAAAATACTCCAGATGTAATCTGACCATGGCAGAATAGAGTATAGCTGTCATCTTCTGTTTTCTGAAAGCTATGCCTCTCAATGCAGCCCAACAGCCTGAGGACATTTTTTTTTAATTGGGCTTCATGAAATCTTAGAGACTTTGCTATTAGAGACAATTAAATCATGGCTCAATATTTAGTATATATGCATTTACATTGATGCAATTCTTTTAAGGCTTTGAAACTTTCACAGCTGTGGAGTTAGTTTTAAAGAATATTTTCTTTTGGACAAATCAGTCAGTCACAGCATTTGTTAAATGCCTACTATGTGCCCAGGCACTGTGTTAAGCACTGAGGATACAAAGAAAAGATGTAAAGACAGTTCCTTCTCTCAAGGAGCTCACAGTCTGGTAGGAGACACACAATGCAAGCAACTGTGTACATAAAAAATAAATTGGAAATAATCAACAGAGTGAAGGTGCTAGACTTAAGGAAGGAACAGTAAAGGCTTATTGTAGAAGGTGGGATTTTAGTCGGAAGCCAGGAGACATAGGAGGGAGAGTAAATGGAAATTTATGGAGGACAACCAGTGAAAAGGCATGGAGTTGGGAGATGGAAGGAGGCCAGTGTCACTGGATTGTAGAATACATTGGGATGGGGTGAGGTAATAAGGTATAAGAAGACTGGAAAGGTAGGGTGGAAATTTTGAACACCAAAAGATTTTATATTTGATCCTGAAGGTGATAGGAAGCCATTGGCATTTATTAAGTAGGGAAGTGACATGGTCAGACCTGCATTTTATTTTACTTTATTTTTTCATAGAGAATCTTATTTAGTATTTTATTTTCCCCAGTTACATGTAAAAACAATTCTTAACATTTGTTTTTAAAACTTTGAGTTCCAAATTCTCTCCCTTCCTCTCCCCACCCCTCCAAAAACCATGAGAAGGCAAGCAATTCTGTGTAGGTTATACATGTGTAGTCATGCAAAACATATCCATAATAGTCATGTTGTGAAAGAAAATATAGGAAAAAAACTCAAGAAAAATAAAGTTAAAAAAAGTATACTTCAATCTGTATTCAGACACCATAAGTTCTTTCTCTGGGGATGAATAGCATTTCTCATCACAAGTCCTTCAAAGTTGTCTTTGATTGTTACATTGCTGAGAACGGCTAAGTCATTCACAACCAGTCACCTTACAATATTGCTGTTATTTTGTACACAGTACATTTCACTTTGCATCAGCCCATTCAGTTTTTTTCAGGTTTTTCTGAGAACATCCTGCTCATCATTTCTTACAGTACAATAGTATTCCATCATAATCACATACCACAGATTATTCAGCCATCCCCCAGTTGAAGAGCATCCCTTAATTTCCAGTTCTTTGCCCCCAGAAAAGAGCTGCTGTAAATATTTTTGTACATATAGGAGCTTTTCCTTTTTGTTTTTTATCTCTTTTGGGATATAGACCTAGTAGTGTTATTGCTAGGTCAAAGGGTATGCATAGTTTTATAAACCTTTGGACATAGTGTCAAATCAGACCTGCATTTTAGGAGGATCACTCTGACAGCTGTGTATAGGGTGAACTGGAGTGGGGTAAGACCTGTGGCAAGGAGACCAACTGGTAGTCTATTAAAATAGTCCAAGTATGAAGTGATAAGGTCTTGTAGAAAAGGGAGCATTTGTGAGAAGTGTGATAAAGTAAAATCATCATGCTTTGGCCACAAATTGGATACAGGGACTGAGAGAAAGGGAGGAGTCAAGTATGAGAAGCATAGCTTTCAGAAAACAGAAGATGACAATCACCTAGACTGTGAGCTTAGAAGATTGGAAGGATGATGTTGCCTGATGTGGAAATAGGGAAGTTAGGAGAGGAGAGAATTTTGGGGAGAAATAATGAGATCAGCTTTGGACATGTTGGTTTAAGATATCTATGGAATGTTGAGCTATGGAGCTGTAAGATGCGGCTGCTAGATGGCTCAGTGGATAGAGTGCTGGGTCTGGAGTCAGGGAGACCTGCATTCAAATATAGTCTCAGACACTTAGTAGCTGTATGACCCTGGCAAGTCACTTAACCTCTGTCTTAATCCACTGGAGAAGGAAATAACAAACCACCCTGCTGTTTTTGCCAGAAAAACCCCATGGACAATAGTGGCACGCTGTTTCCATGGGGTCATGAAGAGTTAGACACTACTGAACAACAATAACTAGATGTTAGGAGGTCAGCAGAGAGGTTAGGGTTGGTTAAGTGGATTTGAGAATCAGTGAATCCACAATACTTGATGAGATCACGTCACCAAGTGAATAGTATATAGAAAGAAGAGAATAAGGCCCAGGACACAGAGCCCCTATGGGACATTTACCATTAGCAAGCATGAGCTGGTTAAAGAGCCAACACAGGAAATTGAGGAGCCATCAAATAGATGTTCATTCAGCTTGTACTAAGTTCTCTAATAGACTTTGAAAGATATACAAAGATACCAGGTTCCTGTCTTCAGAAAGCTTATAATTTAGTGCGGGAGGTAAGACAAGGATACAAGTAATTGTAATACAGGATATAATGTAAGTGAACAAAAGTATAGAGTGCTCTGGCAGTTTTTAAAAAGGAAAAAAGGTTAGGTCACTTTTTACTGGGCTTAATTAGTCAAGGCATGTCTAGTATTCAGGAGAATCTTAATTATTACATTTCATTTTTTGATTAAAGTTAAACTATAGCAATTTTCAGGTTTTCTATTCATTGAGGTTTATAGTAAGACTAATAATGAAAAAGTACAGTGAAAGTGTAGTAGCTGAGTTTGTTTTATTCCTCCTTTGATATAAGAAGAGGCCATTTTCATTTGCCATCTTCTTAACCGACTCTTAGACTCCTAGTCCCATTGCTATAGGAAGCCAGTGTAGAGCATTCAAAATAAGAAACTTGTATCTGAATTTGGTGTCTTATAGACAAATATCTGAGTTTAAGATACTCTATATTTTAGGATTGGATCTTACAGCAAAAGGATATCCTTGTTAGTACATGACTTTATAACCTTATCATGAGTTACACATTCTGGGTTCTTTTTGGATATTAAAATTATTCTTTATATGACTTAACGAAATACTTTTAAGTCTTTAACAACCATATCTGTTGTACTATTAAGAGTCTGTGGTAAACATAGTGTATCTTTTGTTGTTGTTTTTTCAAAGCTTAACCTAAAGGTCATTTTTACCAGAGACATTAGCCTTTATTTGTTATAAAATGAGCTTTAGGTCTCTGTAAGTGATTCATGAGGCACAAAATACCTGAGTCTGACTTTGACAAAAATCTCACACTATCATTTTGCCCATTGGTACCTGTAGTCTGTCCTTCTTTTAGTGACATCAGTGAGGAGAACAGGAGGACTGACTCTTCTTTATCCTTTGTAGCGGGGGAGTGCCCCATTTTGGGGCACATACAAAATGGGAGATAAATATTTTTCCCATGGGGCATAGGCTTCCTGTCACATAACTAATAGTAGTCATAAGATTTCAGGCCTGGTGTAGTCTCTGAAATCTACTTTGTTGCTCTGTGGACTTTAACATGGAGTTTAAGGATCATTTCACTAAGTGCTCAATTTATACTGAAATAAATGGATAAGTAATGGTATATAATGCCTCTGATTTTGTACTTAATCTTTTTTAACATTAAGACTAGTCTCTTAACCTTTATTTAGGATGCCAGAATTTGTTTTAGTTTCATTAAAAGTTCAGACTAAGTTATAAGTTAAGTGTACTTACTATTTTCATGAACTTAGGCTGAAGGAGATTTTTTTTTGAAAGATATTACTTATGTGCTTAAAATAATGTTTTCCTGAAGTATTGTAAGACTTTCAGTTTACTTTGAAGTAATGATTACTATGTAATTATAACTGATATTCTTAATATACAACATTTATAGTGTGCACTTCTGTTTTTTTCCTTCATTCAGGCTCAGACAGCCTTTTCTGCAAACCCTGCCAGTGCAGCAATTTTGTCAGATGCCTCTGCTCCCATTTCTCAAGATGGAAGTAAGTAGCTATAGTTTTAAGTTTTTCTAGAAGTCATAGTAGAGTAAAAAGTCAAGTTGGAGTCTGAAAACTTGGGTTCAAATCTCTGCTCTGAGATTTACTAGCTTTGTGATTATAGGAAAATCTTTTACTTTCCTCATCTGTAAAAGGGTGATAATATTACTTGAACTTTCTGCTTTTCAGGGAGGTTGTATGGAAAGTGCTTTGTCTGTGTTCCATAATTTACAGAACTCTTGAAATACAGAAACATGAAAATCTGTTGGGTGTTAGTTTCTTAATTTTCAGGAAGCTTATTGGAAATAAATGTCAGCCCATGAAATACTGGTGATATTAAGAAGAAATATTGAAATTTCAATACGGAACAAAGTACTTCTATCTCATTTAATAGTGATGTTTTTTGTTGAATCATAAATATGAATAAATTGGATCATAGCATATCATCTTGTTGGCATCCCAGCCCATGGAAGCATGAGTCCTTCGTTATGCCATTCCTGACTGTAGTCTGTGTTCTATATCATCTGGTGATGGGAAACGTTATTATATTCTGAGGCAGCATGTCCCATTTTTGGATAGCTCTAAATGTTAAGAAGTTTTTCCTTATAGTGAGCCAAAATATGCAACTCCTGTTCATTTCCCATAGTTCTGTCAGTCATTTAGTCAGTAAGTATTTATTTGTTAAATACTTACTATGTGCTCGGGACTGTGCTGGGCATACAAAGGAAGGCAAAAGAGAATTCTTGCTCTCAAGGAGCTCACAGTCTAATGGGGGAGATGATATGTAAACAGTTCTGTATAAAATGAGATATATACATGATGAATTGGAGGTAATCTAGGCCCAGATAAAACAAAATCTAATCCTTCTTCTATGACATTCATTAAATTTTTGAAGACAGTTACCATGTTGTAGAATTTTAGAAGTATGAGAACATCAGTCCTGTAGTAGGTATAGGTCACCTAGTCTACATACCCCAAAAGGAATCCTCCCGTCCTCCTGCTCCCACAACATATCTTGACCCATGATAGTCTTTCGGTCTTTGCTTGCAGTCCTCCAGTGATGAGGAATGCATTACCTCCCCAAAAAGTCCATTCTTCTTTTGCATAGTTCTATTTTTTAGAAAGTTTTTCCTAATATCAAGCTTAAATTTGCCTCTTTGCAAGTTCTAGTCACTGTTTCTTGTTCTATCTTCTGGGGTCAGAAAGAACATGTCTAATCCCTCTTCCTCACAAGTAGTTTTTCAGGTCCTCTGAGCCTTCTCTTCTTCAGATTAAACATTCCCTGGTTCCTTAAATAATCCTCATTTAAAGTGGTCTCAAGGCCATTGACCATTTTGGTTTTTCTTCTCTGAACACTCTCCACTAGTTTCCTTCCTAAAATGTAGTGCCTACAACTGAACAGGTACACCAGTTTTGGTTTGATCATGGCAGAGTAGTATAGTAGAACAAACTCTCACCTTTTTCTTGGACACTCTCACCTGAAGATCACATTGGCTTTTTTTCCCTGCTCTACACGCTGCTGACTCATGGAGCTTATAGTCTGCTGAAAACCCTAAATCTTTTTCAGACTGATGCCTAGTCATTCCTCCTCTATCTTGTTCTTGTGACAGTGATTGTTTTAACCCATGCATTCCTATTAAATATCATCTTATTAGATTTAGCCCACTATTCTAACCTGTCATCATTTTGGATCCTTAGTTTGTCATAAAGTGTTAACTGTCCTTCCCAGCTTTTGTCATCTGTAAATTTTATGAGAATTTTCTGTTTTTATCTAAGTCATTAATAAAATTGTGAAATAACACATGACCAAGCTGAAAACCTTTTGGATTACACCACTGGAAACATCCTGCCAAACTGATACCAAATCATTATAGCTAATTTTTAAGTTCAGCCATTTAACCAGTTCTGAATCTGTCTCATTGTGTCCTCTAGTCTGGAAGTATCAAACTGATACTACAGAACTCCAAGGGCCTCTGGAACCATATTAAAATATAATTGGGGGGCAGCTAGGTGACGCAGTGGATAGAGCACCGACCCTGAAGTCAGGAGGACCTGAGTTCAAATCCGGCCTCAGACCAAACACTTGACACTTACTAGCTGTGTGACCCTGGGCAAGTCACTTAACCCCAATTGCCTAAAATACACACACACACACACGTGTGTGTGTGTGTGTGTGTGTATAAAAAAATCAGGAAATGTTTAACAAAAGTAAAAATACAGCACAACCTGGATAATGTTAATTTGGGGCTTTCTAAGTCAATATGTGGCCTACAGGGGATATTTCTGTTTGAGTTTGATACCATTGATCTAGTCCAGCCCTTTCTATATTTTTCGCAAGAATAAAGCATTAGATACTTTCCAATGCCTTTCTTAAACCTAGGTTTGGACTATACCTGTAACATTTTCCAGTCTACCAGTTTAATATTCAGATGAGTATTCAAGTACTGACTTTGTCAAAAGAAATAAATTTAATCTTGCGTGATCGGTACTTGAATCCAAACTTACTCTTTGTAATTACTGTTTCATTTTCTGGATGTTTACTAAATCTGGTCTTTAATGTTCAGTTTCAGAATTTTGCCAGTAATTAAAGTTAAGCTTCCTGGCCTATAGTTAGACTGAGTTCTTTTCTCCTTTTTTCAAAATATGGTCACCATTTGTTCTTCTCTGTTCCTGTAATATCCCTATTATTCTTTATAATCCGTCACATATGTAATTGACAGGAGTTTGTCTTCTGAATGAAGCAGAAATTAGAAAAAGCAAACTTGGATTCATCAAGTACTGATCATACAAGATTAAATTTATTTCTTTTGATAAAATCAGTACTTGAATACTCATCTGAATATCTGAATATTAAACTGGTAGACTAGAAAATGTTATAGGTATAGTCCACATCTTCTAGTTCTCTTAGTTCTCATCTCAGATTGCTTTTATCTTTATGTGGCATGGTTTCCAGTCTTCTCACCATCCTATTCACTTTCCTGTAGACATATTCCAGCTTATCATTGTCACTTTTTGTAATATCAAACTGATTGCATTAGCTCATTTGCTAGCTATGTCATAAACATTGCTAACTTATACTGAATTTGCAGGTAAGTAAAATACAACTTTTTTAAAATGAATTTTTATTTACCCGTATCCCCTATATCTTATATGTATTTTTTTATCCAAACCTATGATTTCATCAGTGTAAGTAGCTTCCAGTATTGAACATAATGCCATCAATGCAGCTTTTCAAATCATCAGTTATAGCCTTGTGGCTTGAGGCATTAAGAGGCTAATTGACTTTCTTATGATCACTTAGGTATCATAGAATATATGTGGGGGTGTGTAGCTATTACATGTCAGTGTCATGACATGAAATCCCAAAGTTCCTGACTTCAAAGTTTAAGTTGGGGGGTGGAGGAGGGGTGGTGGTGGGGAGGGGAATGGGTGGTATATTGTTAAGCACACTACATTGGCTAAATGGCCGGCCTTGAAATCAGAAAAATTGGGACTTCATGCCATGCCACAGAAACATACTAGTTACACAGCCCCAGATATATATTCTCTCTGTATCTACACCTATATCTGATAGATAAAATCTGAGATGTTATCCCTATTAAATTGCATTTTACTTTATTTGGCTTATTGTTCAAGACGAGATATTTTTGGATTTGAAAACTCTCGTCTATTGTATTAGCTACTGCGTCTAGCTTTATGTTATTCAAAAATTTGGTAGCACGCATGTGGCTTCTATGATGAAGTAGCAGGAAGCAGTGTACTTCTGTCCACAAAACTCCTCCAGACAGACAAAATCCTGATGGGTAAATCCAAAAGAAGTCTCAGTGAATCCTTTGTCTAGAGAGACAGATAGAGAGGTCTTCTGACACTGGAGACTGGATTAGGCAAGAGCATATCACGTGTAGAGCATTCTAGCATCTTGGGAAAGACTGTACACTGGAGTAATGGGAGGTGCCAGACCCATATTGGAGCCTGTGACAGGCTTTGTCAACCTTCCTAGTTTTGGGTCACAGATGCAGAGTGGACTGAGATATGAGGATCTGTGCACAGAAGTGGTGTTCCAGGGTAGGGAGATTTTGGGTGGTGAAAAGAAGAAGGAGGAAATTCAGAAGCAAGTAGCAGTGGTTGGCCCAGACCCCCGAGGAACAGAGTAGGATCTCAGTTTCAACATCTAGCCCAGCCTGCAGAAGAATAGTCAGGGCTGGAATTCCAGAGGAACCTGTAAGTCACTTTGAACCAGCAGGGCTTCTCAGCTGGCTTAAAGGGGCTGAGTATAGCATCATTCTACTATTGATCAAACCAAAACAGGTTAAGAACTTGGAAGAGCTCAAAACAAGGGATGCAGCAAACAGACTTTGCGTTGGATCATATCATTTTGGGAACACTAAAAGTTTGCAGGTTCCTAGACTGTTCCTGAGATCCTAGAATACCACAACACTCAATACCTCAAGAAAACAGCATCAGAACTGGCCTGCCTAGACCTTCCTTTGAGAAGCATGGCAGAACCTAGATGTAACATAAAGGAAGTCCAGGGGCAGGGAAGCAGATGGAAAGAATGGGCAAACAAACAAACAAAAAAAAAAACCTACTCTAATGCGCTCTTATAGTGGAAGAGATGCTCAGGATACAAACACAGAAGATAACTTCAAAATATCTATAATATTTAATAACAATGCCTTACCTTAGGGAAAAAAAACACAACTTGGACACAAGCTAAACTAGAATTCCTAGTGGAGATGAACTAAGAGGTTTTTTTTTTTTTTTCAATGAAAAAATGTTCTTATAAATGAAATGAAGGTGTGTGAGGAAAAAAATAAAAAGAAATGAGCTGCGGAAGAAAGAATTGGAAAGTGAATTAACACCTTGGCACAAGAAGTACAAAACCTGGCCCAAGCACGCAAGAAAACTGTCCGAATCTCTCAGAACCAGAGGCCAAAGTGGAAACAGAAAGAATCCACTGGTAACCTCTTGGAAAAAATCCCCAAATAAAAGCTCCCACAAACATCATAGCCAAGACCCAGAGCTTCTCGGTGAAAGAAAAAAAAAAATGCTACAGAAAACCAAAAGGAAAGAATTCAGATACCAAGAACCACAATCAGGATCTCACGTGATTTAGCAGCCACCACTATAAGGAGGGGAGAACTTTGCATATGATGTTCCAGAAAGCAAAGGACAAGGGCTTATATCCAAGAATAACTTACCCAGCAAAACTTGAGTATAATACTGCAGCAGAAAAAATGGATCTTTAATGAAATAGAGTGCTTCTAAGCATTCCTGATGTAAAGGCCAGAATTACACGAAAACTTTTGAAGATCAAAAACAGCAGTTAAGAGAAGCATAAATAGTTAAACAGGAATGCATAATGCTGTTTGACTAAACAAGGATAAATAGTTTTATGCTGGTATAAGTTGATGTATATATTTCCTCTCTGAGTGCTAGCATCATCAGTGGTCAGAGGTAATCTTAGTAGAAAAGGCCTGGGAGTTCTGTTATGTCTTAATGATTTTTTTTTAAATTTATTTTTAGTTTTCAACATTCACTTCCATAAGATTTTGAGTTCCAAATTTTCTCCCCATATCTCCTCCTTCTACTCCAAGACGGCACATACTTTGATATAGGCCCTACATATACATTCATACTGAGCCTATTTTCACATTAGTCGTGTTGTAAAGAAGAATTAGAACCAATGGGAGAAACCATGAGAAAAAAGAAACAAAAAAGAAAATAAAGAGAGAGCAGATAATACTCCTTGATATTCATCAGACTCCATAGTTCTTTTTCTGGATGTGGACAGCATTTTCTATCATGAGCCCTTTGGAGTTGTTTTGGATCCTTCCATTACTAAGAAGAGAGGAATCTATCAAAATTAGTCATTGCACAGTGTGGCTGTTACTGTGTACAGCGTTCTCTTGGTTCTTCTCACTGCACTCAGCATCAGTTCATATAAGTCTTTCCAGGTTTTTCTGAAGTCTACTTGCTCATCATTTTTTTTTTTTTTTTTTTGCACAGTAGTATTCCATTACATTCATATACCACAACTTGTTCAGCCATTCCCCAACTGATGGGCATCCCTTCAATTTCCAATTCTTTGCCACCACAAAAAGAGCTGCTATAAATATTTTTGTACATGTGGGTCCTTTTCCCATTTGTATGATCTCTTTGGGATACAGCCCTAGAAGTGGTATTGCTGGGTCAAAGGGATATCTTGATTATCTTTAAAAAAGAATGGAAAGAGAGGAAGAGAAATACACAGGGAGGAGAGAATGTGGGAACAGCGTACACTTGAATCCCTCTCTCTTCTAAATTTGTTAAAGAAAGGAAGAATACACATATATGAAGTTGGGTACAGAGATACACTTCATTCAGCAGGGAAATAGGAAAGAAAGGGGAGAAAAGGGGGAGGAGGAATGAGAGAAGACAGAAAGGAAGGGTTCTAACAAAACTCTAATGTTGTACAAAAATATTAATAGCTTTTTTGAGATGGCATAGACTGGGAATCTAAGGGGATGCCTAATTGGGGAATGGGCAAATAATTTGTGATGGATAAATTGTTGAAATACCATTGTGTTCTAAGAAGTGGTGAAGGGATGATTTTAGCGAAACTTGAGAAGACTTGCATTTGAATGATCTGATGCCTAGTGAAATAAATGAACCCAAGAGAACAATTTTTATTGCAGTATGGTAAAGGCAAACAGTTTTGAAAGAATTAGGATCTCAGTATAATGAGTATGATTCCAGAGGAGTAATGATTAAACATGCTGCCTTCTGATAGGGAGGGGAAGGACTCAAAGTACAGAATAAGACATTTTTGGGGGGTACATAGCTAATGTGGAGATTTGTTTTGATTGACTATGTAATTGGATTTTTCTTTAATTCTTGGCATTTTGGGGGGGGCAGGTTGTAGGATGAGAAGGCAGATTTTGCTGATCGAAAAATAAAGTTTTTAAAAATCATTGATTAAAACATGTTCAGCAGAATGCTGACTCAGTTTACTCTACCTTATTGAACTTAATTGTAATATAAAAATAAGATCTAAGCAATTGTATATTTACTGGAGTTGCTGGTCCACTGAACATGTAGTTGCAGATCTACATTGGTGGGAGGAGTTTCCATACCAGTGAATTCCTCGCAAAAGTAGAAGTACAAATCTCGACCAATAGATTTATTTATTTAAAGTAATTGCAAATATAGGAAGTAAGGTTGTGAAATGCTTTGGTAAGTATCAAGGAAAAATCCTTTCTAAAAATTCTTAAATATGGAGCAGCAGTCTCCTATTTCATTTTCTGTAGCACGTCTCATCCCTTTGTCTTTTGTGTTGTTTTTTTCCCCAAATGTGAGTTACTCCTATCAAAATCTCCCGTCTCTGACACTATATAGGTAGGGAGCATAGGGAAGCTATCTTAACAAATGACTGCTTTGCTTATCCTGTTTAAAGTTGAACATTATTGAGTAAAGTAGAAGCTCATGTATATATATATAAACTGTAAGTTGTGTTTCTATTCCTGTAATTTTCTACCTTAAGTTACTTAGTTTCTTTTTCTTAGGTCTCTATCCTAAACTATATCCCGAACTCTCTCAGTACATGGGCCTGAGTTTAAATGAAGAAGAAATATGTACCAACATGGCCCTGGTTCCTGGAGCAACATCTCAGGGGGTATGTAAAGTAGAAGTAATTTACAATTTCATAAATTGTACTTAGCATATAGTTAATGTGTAACTGTACCTTTATGTAATTAATGTATACACATTATATCTCTGATAGTTTTAGAATCAACAGTATTATTAGAGTTGGACTTGGACCTCGGGTCCAAAGGGAGTGACGAGATCTAGGACTGGAACCTATGTCCTTTTATTCACAATCTAGCCTGTACACGGATATCCATACTACATTCCAATTCTTATTCATTACAGTTTAGTATTTGCACATGCCCAGGGTAAAACTTGTGTGTTTTATAGCATTTGGAGGAAAAGTCCATTTGAACTATTATTTCTGCAAAATACTGTATCTTAACTTATATATAATATTCATTTTGTATAATTCTTTCTACATTTTCCCCTAACCCTCTCCAGATATTTCAATGTTTAGGAGACTGATGACCAAGTGATCTTGCCTGAGTTGAATTTAGAATTGCTTCCTTATTAGGCTACCTGACAAATCAGTACCAGAAGAGCCCTGCCTAATCAAAATGTCATTAAACATAGAGAGACTAGAATTATTCATTTAACTGTTATGGGTCAGGTGTTTGAGATGTTTATTCTCCTAATGTCTTATGCAGATTTCTAAGAGGTAAGACAAATGCAGGTTCCTTCCATCAGGCAGGCAACAAACTTGCCTTCACTTTAATCTTTTACTCTTGAGCTTGCCATTACTGACAAATGTATCACCTCCCTGTTCAAGAACTCTGAAATTCCCTTATTTGGTTATATTGTATTGGCTTTCCACTTACTTTCTCATCCAATACCAAATTCTACTCTTTAAACATGCTGTGACCTCCATTTTCTCCAAGGCCAACTCAAATGGTACTTCCTACATGAAGCTTTCACTGATTACTTGCCAGTATGACCTGATCTTTCCTTCGTCTGACTTCACATAGCATTTTTCAACATGCCTGTTTTGCATTTATCACAATCTTACATAGTATTGCATATTTATGTTTTATTTATCTCCCTAATAGAAAGTTCCATCAGGGTGGAGATTGTGTCTTGTTTAAATTTTGTGTAACTCTTAATGTCTGCCATTGTGTTCTGCTCAGAGATGCTTAATAAATGTTTGTTGAATTTAACAAAATGAGTAGCTGAGCTTCTGCTTTCATTATAGAGTTAATCATTTTTATAATCAGTTTTTTACACAGCGTGATTTTATTACCTTTCTGTGAAAAGTCTGCTTGAAGGTAGCAGGTTGTTATTTCAGGATAGGTAAAGAGTCCAGTTTCTTCTCTTTTACATATTATGGGCCATTAGAGTCTAATAATAGATGGAAATATGCAAAAAGGTTATTGATAAAATTGAAGCTTCAGCAACTTTTCTTGTACACAAGCCTTTTTTTTTTTTTAACCTGTGCATCTGGTTTGCATAACCCATCAGTTCTACCAAGAGATACTGGAGGTGGATTGACTACATGCATAAAATGCAAAAAGTACAAAGGAAGTAACTATGAGAGAGACAGACATTAAAATGGTAGAGATGGAGGATATAATTATGGAACAAGGTCCCATTATGAGAAAGGTATATTTAGTTTTATTAAGAGACAAGATATTTTAGTAGAAAAACCTGTTTAAAAATGTTATCTTTAAGAGTATGCACATGACTATAAATTTTTGTTTTAAATATGTATAAAAAAGCTTTTCTAAATATAACATTATCCGCTTTTAGCAGCAATTGGTGGCCAGGCCTTCTGCTGTGAATTATATGGTGGCTCCTATAACTGGTAATGATGCTGGAATTCGAAGAGCAGAAATTAAACAAGGAATCCGGGAAGTCATTTTGTGTAAAGATGAACATGGAAAAATTGGCCTTCGACTTAAGTCAATAGACAATGTGAGTATTTGATTTTTCTTTTTCCTTCTTTAGAGGTATAAATTTTTCCATACTTATTTTTCTGCCTCATTGTGACATGGAGGTTCCCCATGCTTCTCTTGAAGGTTGGGCTAGTAAACATAGTTTCTGACTATAGTCCCAGTGACATACTGTTTAATTTCTGAGAACCTGCCTAGATAAGTATCAGCCAATAGGCTGGTCACTAGGGGATGAATTCTTTGGCCATAGTAACCTATCAACTCTGATGGGCTGGCCATGTTGTTTGAATATCAAATGTATGTTTGCCTAAAAGGCTATTTTACAGAGAACATACACAATACATAAGGCAAGTGCTCCCTCAGAGGTCAGAAGAAGTGATAGAAGGACACTCTCAAGGTCTATCTGAATAACTTTGGAATTGATTGTGAGACATGGGAAACACTGGCACAGAATCACCTAGCATGGTATACCCACATCAAAGAAGGCGCATGAGCAAAGCGGAATTGCAGTAGCTCAAAAGAAATGTGAGATGCAAAGATTTAGAGACATCTCCACTCCAAATGTTCATATGGAAGTGGAGGTACCTATTTGTAGATGGCCTTCTTTAGCCAGAAAACACAGGAGGGATAGAAGATGATAGTTATCTGGGATGGATGGATCAAGTGAGGGTTTTTTGAGGCTGGAGCACACATGGATATGTTTATATTCAGTAAGGAAGCAGTTAGTAGACAGATTGAAGATAAATGAGAGAGTAAGGATGATAGAGGAGCTGGCGGAAAATGGGATAGAATGGAACCAGTTGTGCGTGTAGAAGGTGGTTGGGTTGTCTTTGCAAGAAAAATGCTTCAAATAAACCAATAAGTGTAAGTCAAAACATCCTTGAAGTTTCACCTCATACCAAACAAATTGGCAAAGATGACAAACCATGGGAATGGTCAGTTTTGGAATGGTTATGGAAAGATGGGAACATTAATGCACTGTTTGGAGCTGTGAATAGGTCTAACTGTTCTGAAAGCCATTTTAGAATCATGCTAAAATTAAAATGTTTATATTCAAACAACACATTTAGTGTTATTTGGTGTTGTGTGTTTATTTCTGGCCATATATCTCAAATTCTGGATGCAGGCTATGGTAGAGTCTAGGTATAGGGACTGGACCTGTGATTTCATAAATATAGGGCATCTTGAGGTGAGAAAATGCTATACCAAAGCAGGATGGCATTTTTCTGCAATTTATAATCTTACAGAGCAAGCTTAAATGGATCAGAGGTGGGATTTGAAGCAGATTTTCTAGGATGGTGAAACAACATATGGAATAGGAGAAAAACAATGGACTTGGGAGTCAGAATACCTGTGTTTGAATCCTGAGTCAGTTTTTACCTCAATAGGTAATCTTGGGCAAATGCTATTCCTGACTTTCTTGGCTGAAAAAAACATCATCAGTTATAAGTAACCTCAGGTTCACTGAACCTAGCTCCATAGCTCCACTCATTCTTGGAGAACACACACACACACACACACACACGCTCACACTTTCATAGGCTTTTATTGTTACTGTAATTAAGGCACTCATACTTATTTGATCTTGGTAAGAAAGAAATGGATTATATCCCTCTGGACAAGAACTGGTAAAGGGACTTTACTCATTTTTGAATTCTTTATAACCCTAATCTTACTTGATTAGATATATTGAGAGTTAGGGAGATGAATGCATAGCTATATGCCTCAGATTTAGGATTCTAGGCCCCAAATTGCAAAGGAAATTTCCAAAATTGTCTTTCTTTTCCTTTTCAAATAAAGAAAATGCACACACACACACACAGAGTGTTAATACCTGTTCGGTCCATAAAATATAACCTTTCAGCCTCATAAGAACTTGAATTTATATTGCTTCTCTTCCCCCCAGTATTGTTGGAATCTATAGATATAAATAGAAGTTCAGAGCATACTCAAGTCATGCTTTGAAGAAGGGTCTTATGACCTAGCTCTCAGAATTCTGCTTTCTGGTGGTGTATCCTTGAATTACTTCTAAGTTTTTTTCCTTTTCTGAGAATAATTTGCCATGTTGCTTGCTATTTGTTTATAAAGTATTTCTAACCTTTCTTTTTCATGCATTTAGGGTGTATTTGTTCAACTAGTCCAGGCCAACTCTCCAGCATCTCTGGTTGGTCTGAGATTTGGGGACCAAGTTCTTCAGATTAATGGTGAAAATTGTGCAGGGTGGAGCTCTGATAAAGCTCATAAAGTACTCAAACAGGCTTTTGGAGAGAAGATTACAATGACTATTCGGGACAGGTAAGATATTAGAAATCAGTAAGTTAGAAATATACGTTTAAATGCTAAATAGGTTTCACATTCTTCCCCTTATCCTCTCAAGATTTTGTGAGCATAATTTCCTTTTAATAATTAATGTCATTGTTTGGCTCTAGTTTCTCTCGTTTAGTGAATTTTTTTGCAAGATTTCCTAAAGTTTTCCATTTCATTTTACTTCTTCTCTTAATGGTATTGTTCTGCTAAATCTGTGCTGCCACTAAATAAAAAAATGGTAGGTAGAACAAATTCGATTTTAAGTCTGTGGCATATAGTATTTTTATATCATGTGATAACAGGGGAAGGAAGGGGAGGGATAAGAAAGAAATAAGTATTTAGTGCCTACGATGTTCCAAGGACTGTACTAAGTACTTTACACTATTTATCACATTTGATTCTCATGACAACCCTGTGAGGTAGATGTTATTATTCCCATTTAACAGTTGAGGATACTGAAGCAGAAAGAGGTTGAGTGATTTGCCCAGTATCACACAGCTACTAAATGTCTCAGGCCAGAATTGAACTTAGGCATTCTGGCTTCAGGCCCATCACTATATCTAAGTGCCTCTACAATGCCATTTCTACTTTTGCTCTAGATATAATTTAAAGATGTGTCTATAATACAACAGTAGGAACTAGTTGGAAGTTATGGTTATTCTGGATTTTTTTTCCCAAGAATTAAAGTTTTTTACTTTGAGATACACATAATGCAAAACTAACTTTTGCTTGCAGGGGTAATTATAGAATCTGTTTTTAGTCATCCAGTCAGTAAGCATTTATTAAGTACCTGCTATGTGCCAGGCACTGTGCTAAGCACTAAGGATACAAAAAGAGGCAAAAGACAGCCCCAGCCCTCAAGGAACTTACAATCTAATGCGGGGGAATCACATGCAAACAATATATACAGAGCAAGCTATATACAAAATAAGAGATAATTATAATAGAGGGAAGGCACTGGAATTAGGAGGAATTGGGGAAAGTTTCCTGTAGATGGTGGGATTTTAGCTGAGAATTGAAGGGAGCCAGGATGTGGAGTAGAAGGGAGTGAACATTCTTGTTGTAGGGGAGAGCCAATGAAAGTGGCTACAACTGAGGATGGAAGAGTACATGGGATTTGGGGAATGGGAGGAGAGTGTGAGGTGCAAGAAAATTGGAAAGGGTGTGTGTGGGTGTGGGGGTGTGTGTGTGTGTTTAGTGGGGGGGGGGGATGACATGGTTGGACCTGTCTTTTAAGAAAATCATTTTGGTTGGTGCCTTAAGCAGAAGATGGACTGGAGTAGGAAAAAGCTTGTGGCAGGTACACCAGTCAACAGGTGTAATGAGGTGTGAGGAGGTGAGGGTCCATACCAGGGTAGTGGCATGTCAGAGACAAAGGGGTGTATTTGAGAGATATTGCAAAAATAAAATCTACACGCCCTGGCAACAGATTGGATATGGGAGAGGAAGGATGAGAGACAGTGAGGAGTCAGGGTTAACATACCTAGGTTGTGAGCCTGGTAACTGGGAGGATGATGGTTGCTTAACAGCAATAGGGAAGTTTGGAAAGAGGGGGAGGGGTTGGTGTGAAATATAATCAGTCCAATTTTGGACATGTTGAATTCAAGATGCTTATAGGACATCCAGTTCAATATATCTGAAAGGCTGTTGAAGATGTGAGATTGGAGAGCAGCAGAGGAGTTGGAGCAGGATAGATTTGAGAATCATCAGCATAGAGATGGTAATTGAATCCTTGGGAGCTGATGAGATCACCAAGGCAAATGGTAGAGGGAGAAGAGAAGAGAGCCAAGGACAGAACCCTGAGAGACATCTACACTTAGTGTGATATGGAAGAGGGAGGATGCAGTAAAGGAGGTGAAGAAGCAGTCAGAGAGAGAGGATGAGAACCAGGAGAGGGCGATGTCCGAAAAACAAGGAGGAGAAAGTGATCAATAGAGTCAAAGGCTGCAGAGAGGTCAAGGAGAATGAGGACTGAGAATGAGGATTTGGCAGCTAAGAGATCATTAGTAATTTTGGAGAGAGCACTTTCTGTGGAATAACAATGAATACTTCTAGTAAGAAGCCAGATTGTAAGACGTTAAGAAGAGAGTGAGAGGAGAGAAAGTGGAGGCACTTGTCATAGACAACCTTTTTGAGGAGTTTAGCTGCAAAGGACAGGAGAAGTAGGAAGATAGTTAACAGGGATGGAAGGATCAAGTGATGGGTTTTTTTAAGATGGGAGAGACATGGGCACATTTATCTACTATAGGAAATAAGCCAGTAGAGAGGAAGAGATTGGGAATAAATAAAAGAGTGAGGATGATAGAGGGGCAGTTTGTGGGAGGAGCTGGGATGGAATGGAGTCTCTTGAACAGGAAGAGAGATTAGCCTGGTAAGGAGTAAGGCCACTTTGTCTTTTGAAATAGGTGAAGGAGGAAAGAGTAGCAGAAGGCACCTGAGTGATAGGAGACAAGGAGGAGAGGAGAAGGAATTCGTGGTGAATGGTCTCAATTTCTTTCTATAAAATATGAGGCAAGTTCTCACCAAGAAGGCGGGGAGGGTGGAGGAGGGATGAAAAGGTTTGGAAAGAGCCTCTGTGGAGAGTGGGATAGTGAGCTGATAAGGGAGGGTATAGTAGGATTACTCTCGCCCAATTGAGGTTGTGTGACATAGATTTGTAGAGGATCCAGTCAGAGTAATTGTGATTTTCTCCTCTTTGTTCAGCAGTACCTGTGTAGGAGTGAAGGCAGTGAATGGTGGGAGTGATCCAAGGTTTGAGGCTTGCCTAGGTATATTCAGTAATATGTTAAGAGGGCAAGGGATTCAAGAGAGGAGGATAGTGCAGAATTGAATTTGTTCACCAAGGGATTAAGAGAGAGGAGGAGAGAGTGGCTACTGCAAGATGGTCTGGGAGAGAACTGAGGGGTCAAGGGATTGGAAATAATGGTGTGGATGAAGAGGAGGGTGTTGTAAGGGAAGGCAAAGGGAGAGGTGACTTTAGACTTAATCTTGATATTTATGTGTGCTCTGACCCTTAGATTCAAACTCTGATACTCTATTGAACTTTAATAGTAATTCTTAACTGACTGTATAATACCTTATAATTTGTAAATTGCTTTTACACAAATTATTTAAATTGAGTCTCACAACAACCCTGTTAAATAAGGTATAGAAATATTATTGTCCATTGTATAGATGGGGAACATAAGGCCCAGAAAGGTATTAAGTGACATTCCTGGCAGATGCAGATCCCTTTGCTTCTCCAGCTGAAACCCCATGTACTAATAATGTCTTTTCTAGCTGAGAATCATAACTCTCTCTCTGGCACTTTCTATTTCTGAACTAAAGAGCTGTTTTTGTTCTGCCTGCCTCCTGTGGTCCAAGTTAGTTCCTCGAGTCTCAGACTCCACAGAATCAGAGAATTCAAGAGTTGGAGAAAGGGACCTCAGCAGCCATGTGGCCCAGTCCATATATGAAAGGAATTTTGACATTTGATTTAAATTTGCCTTTTGGCAACTTCCACCCATTTCCCATGATTTGAAGCTTCAGGGTCAGGCCTACCATGCTTAGTTCTTTTGGCTGATTCTAATGAAGTGGATTTGAGGCCCTTCATTTTTGCTCACCCCTTTATTTTCCAGCTTCTCCGTGCCCTTCGTAAACCGACATTACAAACTGAACACAATAATACTACATCTGTATAGATGAGAACTAATGAGGGCCAAATACAATAGGAATGTGACTTCCCTCTTCTGGAAGCTGTACCTCCCTTATTACAGTAAGGTCTCAGTAGCTTTTTTTGGCTTCCATGTCACACTAACTTACTGTTCTTGCAGTCCACTAAAAGCCCCAAGCCTTTTTTTTGAATTGCAATCTAGCCATGGCTCCTCTGTCTTGTACCCTCTATAGGATGTAATGTGTTTTTCTTCATTCCTCTTATTACTTCTGTGCTTCTGATTTGTACCAAGAAAAGGTTCACCTCTTAGTCAAGTCATGTGACCTCAATTTCATTAGTGGCTTTACAACCTTAATCAGTAAATATTAATTAAGGATGTATATTGGGAATACAATATATACATGAAGCAGTACTTACTTAGAAGGAGCCTACCTTCTGACTTGAGAGACAGCAGGGACAAAAGAAATATAAAAAGGATAAATACCAAGTAGTTTGAGGAGGGCATTCACTAGCAGGTTAGGGGATCAGTATAGCCTTCCTGGAGAAGATGGTACTTGTGCATCATCTTGAAGAGAGGGATTATCTGAGCCAGAGGTGAAGGCAGCTAGGTGGTGCGGTGCCAGGGCTGACAGGGCCTTTTTTTGAGTGAGGCAATCAGAGTTAAGTGACTTGCTCAGGGTCACATAGCTAGTAAATGTCAAGTGTTTGAGGCAGGATTTGAACTCAGGTCCTCCTGACTCCAAGGCCAGAGCTCTATCCACTCTGCCACCTAGTGTATTCCAGGCATGAGATTGAATCTAGTGCAAAAAGACCAGATGTATGTAAGGAATAGAGACCAGTTTAGCTGGATTCTAGAATGCAGGACAGGAAATAATGTATGGTGAGTCTAGAAAGATAGGTTGAGGCAAGGTTGTGAAGGGCTTTACCAAAAAAAAAAAGTTTACATTGTATTCTAGGGGCAATGAGAAGCCATTGGGGTTTACTGAGTAGGTGACATGATCAAATATGCATTTAAGTAAGATCAGTAGCAGCAAGTGTGTAGGATGGATTAAAGTAGAGGGAGAATTTTGAGGCAGGGAGACCAGTTGGAACACTGATGCTCTCTGGGTGGTAGGTGATAAGGGCCTGAACTAAGATGGTGGCTATATGATTAGAAAGAAGGATTAGATGAGAGATGTGAAGGTAGAAATAGCAAGTTGTGGCAGCTAATTGGAAATGTGGGATGAGGGAATGAGGAGTTGAGGATAATGCCAAGCAGTTAAAGATAAAGTCTGGAAAAAATGGTTGTGCCTTTGACAGAAGTTTAGAAGAGGGATGGGTCCGTCCAGTTTGGGCTGTGTTGAGTTTGAGTCATTCAACCTTTCTGAATTCCATTTCCTACTGTGCCAGAATGAGGTGATTTATCAACTTGATTTCCTGAGGCCCCTCTTAACTAAGGCTGGTCAATCCAGGCTATGTCTAAATTTTCCCAGATTTTGAATTAGTGATAATTGAATTAATCTGATTGTACTGTCATGTAAATTTTTAATCACATCTTAAATTATTTTTATTATCTATCCTATTTATGTTTAACTTTGCTATGAGAGTTTTAGCTAGTGCCTGAATATAGGGTTCAAATCCAGGTCTTCTGGCATTGAGTCCAGTGATCTTAAAGAGGCTGTGATATAGGACAACTGTAAGATGCTTTGGAAACTGTCTCTTCCTTGAAGTCACTTGCATCAACATTTTAAACAACTGTTGCCTTTGATTGTAGACCATATATACCAAGATGTCTTTTTTGAGTGGATAAAGAGAAATTTTTACCCTTTAGCTGCTTCAAAAAGTAACAGAGGCTCCTTTGCCTTATTGCCACCATTATAGGTATATGCCTTACTTTTAAAAGGCTGGTTTGCTCATGTTTTAAAGTGCTGAGAGATTTTGTTGCTACAAAAACTTTTCTGAGGAGGTTGGAAGAGGGAAAGGAGCCAGGACATTAAAATTAACACTACTTTAAAATATTTTTGAGGAATATTCTCATCTCTGCTTAACAATTGTTTAGAAAAAATAAAGTTAGATACCTAGAGGCAGCTTGCTGACACAGCAAATGGTGGGCCTGGAGTCAGGAATATCTGAATTAAAATCTAAGACAACTTAGTAGGTATGACCCTGGCCAAGTTACTTGACTGCTGCCTGCCTGAGTTTCCTCAACTGTAAAATGGGAATAACAGCATCTGCTTCCCAGCGTTGTTGTGAGGATCAGATGAAATATTTAGCACAATGCCTGGCATAAAGTAGGCACTTAATGCTTCTTCTGCCTTACCCTTTTTTTTCCCCAAGAAGTACTGAAGTTCTAAAAAAAAGATCACTTTATTAAAAGTGTTCTTTCTGTTCAGAGCACATACTTCATGGGTTCTGAGAGAGAAAAGCATATTGGAAAAGCTTCTCTTAGATTTTCACACCTTTAGTTTCAAAAATCAATTACAGTGGTGTGCTTTTTAAATGTCTTTGTTAGAGCCAACATTCTTAGTGAAACTATCAAAACTAGCTGTTAAGTTGAACACATTTAAAATACTAGAAGTTGATGGTTCATTCTTTTTTAGATTTTTCAATGATAATTATTAGACAATGCTATAGACCAGAAATTTGTCTCAAGGTTAAATATATACTAATAAGATTTTTCCCCTGAAAATGTTTTCACAGACCATTTGAACGAACTATTACCATGCATAAGGATAGTACAGGACATGTTGGATTCATTTTTAAAAATGGAAAAATAACCTCTATAGTAAAAGACAGTTCTGCAGCAAGAAATGGTCTTCTTACTGAGCACAACATTTGTGAAATCAACGGTCAGAATGTAATTGGCCTGAAGGTAATGTGACATATGCCTTTTCTTTACTAGTTTTTATTTCAAAAAAATTTTTATGTTCTTCTGAATGAATAGCTTTTATTGGTTCTAGAGAACAGGCCAATGCTGGTAAAATTTTGTAGTTTAGATATCCTATTTTGGTTTTATTTGGTCAGAAGCCCTGTATCAGGAAATTGGTTTTATAATTTTTATTCTTCCTGTTAGATAGGAAATTGATATAAGCAATGATTGTTGAATGATTATTAACAGTTATTATTACTATTATTAATAGTTAACTTTGAAAAGCCAAGTTTAAATTTAGAAACTCTAAACTTCCAAGTCTTTGGTGTATGTTAGAATGTCTAAATGTCTCAGGGGCTTTGATGATAATAATCTTAATAGTTTGCAAATGCAAGCAAATTGTGATCTTACTGTTTTTTAAGAAATTAACTATCTTATGTGATTCTGTATAAATCAGTTTGCTAACAATCAAATGCACGGTGTCAGGTACTGTATTATCAACATTAATTCAGTTTAACAAACATTAAACACATACATGTAAGAGACCCTCTGCCAGGTACAAGGGATGGCGATGAAAATTGACATTGGAGCCTCAGATTTTTAAAGGACATGTCATTCCCATGAAGAGAAGGAAGAGAACTTTGTAGTCACTTGTGATTTCATTTCAGTTGAGCCTCAATTCAATTTCCTTTTGTGTTCTTTTAATAGGACTCTCAAGTTGCAGACATACTTTCAACATCTGGGACCGTAGTTACCATTACAATCATGCCTGCTTTCATCTTTGAACACATAATCAAAAGGCAAGTTCTTCATTCTTCAGCTGAAAAAAAAATTATGGTTCTTATAAAGGCAAACAATACATTATAATTTCATGTATTTTAAAGGTCAGAATTGATCAAATCTCGTATTATTCTCTTTAAGAAATCAATTAAGATGGGGTTACCTGTATAAGAATTTTGTTCTTGTTGCATTCTTTTCCCTCTTATTTGATCCTTCTCTTCATCCCAGTCCCCCATTAGAAAAAGATAGCCTGTTGCCCATATTATATATGCTGCTGAAGAGTTAAGCAATTAAAAGCTAGATTTGGGTTGAGGTTTGGCTTGGAGGGACAGGGAATGGAAATGCTGACTGCAGGAAAGGGCTGTCTTCTTTTTAGCCCTTGTGGACAACCATGTAGAAAAAAAGTGGAGCAAAGGAAGATGTTAAAAGGAAGCTTTACTTATTTCTGCTGCTCTTGGGCAGTGTGAAATGTACTCGTGCATCCTTGACTTAGTTGATGATAAGGAACATTGGCTCTGATGTAAGGCGTAGACCCTTAACTTCTTGTAACTTCAAAGATAAGTGAAATGCTGGAAGAGCTGAACTCTCCTGAAGAAACTGTATGGGGCCATGAGAAGGGGGGGAGTCAGTAGTGGGGAGATTATGTGGGATCAGAGCCCATTCAGCATCTCAAAAAACTAGCTTCAAAGCATTGGTTGTCCTGTTTTTCCCCTGACTGTTCTGTCTTTGTAATTTGTAACTCTTAATTTTGGGATCACTTTTTATTTAAAAAAAAAAATGATAGGTATGTCAGGAATATTAAAAACTTCTTTTGAAGACAAGTTCTATGAAAAAAGTACTTTAGAAAGTTTTACTAACTGCTGTCCTGGCAGCAGTTTTACTTTTGGTTGTTATTGGCCAAGATTGGACCTATTTTTTCCCCCTTTTATGTACAAACTAATTGGATCACTGAATAATTTAGGTCTTGTGGAAGAAAAAACCTTACATCGTTTTCAGGACTGTATTGAGTAGGGTCACATTTTTATTATATTTCTTGAAATTGCAAAGAAAAGTACTCAGTAACAGGCACGATTAGGAAATAAGAATAATCCAAGGCAGCTGCTGAGCCTGGAATTAGGAAACCCTGAGTTCAAATTGGGCTTCAGACACTTACTAGCTGTTGTGACCCTGGGTAAGTCACTTTTGCTAACAACTCCAATATCTTTGCCTAGAAAACCCCATGGGAGATATTGGTGTGCTGTGGTCCACAGGGTCACAAAGAGTCAGACGTGATTGAATAACAACAAAGATTAGTTCAGGCAGGCAGTTCTGTGTCTGATGTTACAGTTAAAGGTCCTTGAGGAAGTGAAAATCCAAGACTCTAAAAACCATTAACCAGGCAGATTTAGTATGTAATCCCAAGGATATGAGAGACAAATATAAATTTCTTAATAAATCATTTGCTAACTCTTTTCCACTGTAGGAAAGCTTGACCAAAGCTTGAGGCTTTAATTTCTTAGCTTCTACAGTAAAAAGATAGTCCCTACCTTTTGACTCAGTAGGTGTTAGGAATTAAATTAGAAGTTTTTTGGTGCTTTGAAATGTATATATAATATATAAATGTCACTCTTACAGGATGGCATCAAGTGTTATGAAAAATCTAATGGATCACGCTATCCCAGAAGTTTAAAATTCAAGCAGTTGTATCTTTCACATAATGGAAACTCTGCTGAACTTGGGCAGTTTACTCAGAATCTTCTGTATTAGACACATAAACCTTACTGGGAGCCAAGAAGCATATGCTGCATGAGAGCCTTTGTATTGTATTATGGCTGGGAATATTACTGTTTGACACAGTTTTGTGTTCAAGCTGTAAATTGTATTTGTAGCCTTATACTGGTTTTACAGATGTGAACCTTTCAAGAGTTTTGACATTCATGGTATCAAGTTTCCAGTAGTTAAACTACTCTTTCTATAAGCCATTATGGTTAAGATAACTGATACAGATTTTTTAAAATGTTATTACCTGTATTTTAGATATTCTAGAAAGTAATATTGTTCCTCTTTTCTTCTGGTGTAGTTTTGCTATTGTATCTTTAGAATAACTTTTCTGCTAGTTCCACTTTTGTTTACAAAAATGCAATTAAACAATCTTGGTTTCATTCCACATGAGCATTACAAATGGCAAAATGTAGAATTGCACAAAATTGTGATGATCTTACTTTAATAATGTATAATTAATGCTTCAATTGTCGCCTTAACCATGTTAAAGGAAAGTTCTGAAATAAAAATAAAATAAATTGATTAACTCTTAACATGCCCCGTTTACTGTCTTAAAAATCCATTATATATCTGTATAGTAATACTTGTGTCATTTCAGTTTTAATTGTGAAACAGTACTGTTTTGTCTTGTATTGGGCTATGTCTTAGGTGAATTAGTTCCTCTCTTTTATATACTTTTGCATTTGATAGTCACTTGATGGTATTATTGCAATGTAGTTAATCCTGGGTGACTAATTTCAGCTATAAAGAGCAATCCCAAATATTTTCATATTTTACTGGTTTTTACTAAGAAGTGAATTGATTTTTATACATTCTAATACAAACATTTCCTTTGTGACAATGAGTTATTAAACATCTTTTATAAAAAGATTTAAAACTTTAAAACTATTAAAAAAGTTTTTTATAAAAAAGTTACAAAAATCTTTTTTATATAAATTTTTTTCAACAGCAAGTCTTCTGGAAATCATTTATTTTCACTTTAATCTTTAAGTAGTGAGCAAAAAGTTCAGAATATTTGAGGGTAGGGAAAAGAATCTTGCTTCATTCATGCTTTCATATTAGATCCTCAGAATTACACACTGAAGCCACTTCTGAAGCTTAAGCTCCTTGAGAATTAATTACCAAGGAAACTTTACTGGGAAAGTCTTTAGTTGTTCTCCCCACCCTTAATAAATGAATGCATTTGTCTGAATTTAAGACAAGAATTTAGTTTTAATATAGCTTCTAAACTTCAGCATTTCCCTGCTCCCATTAAAAAAAAAAAAGGCCAGTTAGAATGTTTGTACTTTTAACCTTTTAATAGCAAATTTTTATAGACTCTAATAAGGCAGCATGATATTTCATGGTTTTCATTAGAAAGACACTGGACTTGGAACCAATTCAAACCCAGCTCTCCTAACTCCTCCTGCTACCTGTGGGAATAGAAAAGACAAAAACCTTTCCTCATCTGCATTGGAGACACTATTTGTACGGCCTGTCTCATAAGCCTTTTAGCAGGTAAGTGCTTTGCAAACTTTAAAACTTAATATTCAAACTACTTTGGAACTTAATATTGCCTATAGGAAGCTTTCTAATAGAAAAATCATTTTAATTGACTTGAACTTGTGGTACAGGTAATCAAATAACCATGAGATTGCTGCTCTCAGTTTTCTAGCAGTGTACCACGATTAATATATGTTTAACACTTTTAAGGTTTGCAAAGCACTTTGATCCTGAAAATGGCCCTGTAAGGTAGGCACTACTATTTCCATTTTACAGAAAAGGAAAGTTGAGAAGTTGTGTGACTCGCCGAGAGTTGCAAAGCTAACCTGAGGTTAGAAAATCCAGTGCTGTGTCTACTATAACATACAAAGTGCAAAAGTAAAATGACCAGAATTAAGAAAAGAGATTTCAGTTACAAAGCTATCAGAGGGCTGTTGTCCTTTTGAAGGTCCAAAAATTGAGATGACTAAGATTCTCAGAGTTGGAGAGGACCTCTAAGCCAACCCACACTTAACTGAGAATCCTTCCTACGACATCCCTGATTCTATCTTGGATTAAACTTTCTCAGTTTCTTCAGCCAAGCACAAAACCTTGCAAAGATACAATGGACTTTAACCATTGTCTTCCAGCTGTACTTCAGCTTTTCAATATCTTTCTTAAAATATGCCCAGAAGTTAACAATACTCCAGATGTGGTCTGAGTAGGATAGTGTTGAGAGAGTCTATTAAATTCCCTTGTTCAATGAGAAGAGAAATCATTGTTAAAGAGGGGACCTGCCTTTCCCTTCACCACCAGCAACACTTGACCAGGCACGAGTATGGCATCGTTCCTACTTTCAGCCAGCCTTCATGGCCATCCATCATTGGGACAAACAACTCCTAGCCCAGTCTCCAAAAGCCATCACTGAGGGAAGAAATCCTTGTGGAGAGGGGGCTCACCTTTTTCATCGCCATCAGCAACAACTGCTGATCAAACATCACTGACAGGTGCCCTGGACATGGCAGCATCTTTCAGACTAGGATTCTTGCTTCCCTAGCAGCTTTGCCATCATCATCTGGGGAAGCAACTCCTAGGGAGAAGGGACTGGCCATCCCCACCAGCCTCCAGACCTGGCCAAGTAAGCAATGGGGCACTATGAGGGAGAGACAGGAGGCAGGATGTACCCGGCAAGTCAAAACGTCATCACCACCTTAAGTAGTATCTCCCCTCCATCCCTAAGGGGGATACCTCTGAACCTTGGGAATAGCAATGCTTCCAGCCCAGTGCCTTCAGACATCACCTTGGGAAGCACCCCCTGCGGAGATGTAGCCTGGCGATTGTTCCTGCAGGCGACACAGCTGTAGCTACTAAGACCCAGAAAAGGAAGTTCTTGCCACCAAAGTCCTTGGCACTGTCAAAAGCTCAACATCAGAAACTGATAATTTTATCAGTCAAAAGGACATTAAAGAGGAGGAGGCATTAACATTGGCTTTGCTGCAGCAGCCTGAGGACCATGGGATTTTTCAGTTGGAACTCCCTCTTCTCCCCTCTTGCTCATTTCCTTTTACTCAGATGCCTTCTGCCTGCCACCTTCTCCTTCACCCTTGTCTCACATGATGAAGTGGCTTTACTTCTTACCAAGGCTAATTCCTGTACTTATTCAAGTAATCCATTACATCTTGTTTCCTCCAACAGACTGCTCCCTTTATCCCCATTTTCACTTATTTTCGATCCCTCCCTATGAGCTCATTCTCTACTGCCTATAAACATGCTTTGTTTCCTTTATCCTGAAAAAAAAAAAAACCACACTTGATCCATCCCTCCCAGCTATCATACTATAGTTCTGCCCTACATTGTAGCAACTCAAAAGGGCCATCTACAGTAGATGTTTCCACTTTCTCTCCTCTCTTATCCCCTTGTGATCTGGCTTTCAACCTGAAATTGGTTTTTATAAAATCGAAGATTTCCTTGCAGATGATTTCTTATCACTCTCTCCTTGATAGTTTTCTCTTAAGTTTTCAGGACACCACTCTATCATAGTTCTTTTCCTATTTATCTGATAGCTCCTGTCTCCTTTGCTGGATTCTCCTCCAGATCACATCCTCTGAGAACCATAGGTGTTCCATAGGGCTCTAACCTGGGCTCTCTTCTCTTCTCCTTTATGCTATTTCACTTGATCTTAGCTTCCATGCATTTAATTACCATCTCTATGTTGATGATTCTCAAATCTACCTTTCCTGCCCCAAACTCTCTGCTGACCTCCAATCTCACATCTCCAACTGCCTTTCAGATATCTTGAACTGGATGTCCAGTACACATCTTAGATTCAATACGTCCAAAACAGAATTCTTTCCCCCTAAACTCTTCCTTCCTCCCTTTTACCTTTCCTTTTAGTGTAGAGGGCAACACCAACCTACCAGTCCCCTCAGGCTCTCAATATAGGGGTTATCCTGGATTCCTCACTGTCTCTCGCCTCACAAATCCAATCTGTTGCCAAGGCCTATTGGTTTCAGCTTTGCAACATCTTTTGAATGTGCCCCCTTCTCTCCTCTAACAATACCACTATAGTGCAGACCCTCATAACTTCATGCCTGGACGACTGCAATTGTCTGCTTACATCAAGTCTGTCTCTACTCCAATCCCTCCTCCATTTTTAGCCACTAAAGTGATTTTCCTAAAATGCATGTCTGATCATATCACCTCCCCTTTTCTTCTTGCCCCCTCCCCCACCTTAAACTCCAGTGGCTTCATATTGCCTCCAGAAGCAAATACAAAATACTGTTTGGCATTCAAAGCTCTTCATAACCTACCTTCCCTCCTACCTTTCCAGTCTTCTTACATATTTCCTGCCATGTACTCTTTGATTCAAGTGACACTGGCCTCTTTGCTGTTCCACCAACAAGACACTTCATCTTGGCTCCTCTGGCTGCCCCCATGCCTGGAACTCTCTCCTCTGCTCCAACTACTGACCTCCCTGGCTTCCTTTAAATTCCAACTAAAATCCTACCTTCAACAGGAAGCCTTCCCCAACCCCTCCTAGTTCCAGTACCTTCTGTTATCTCCTGTTTAACCTGTATATAGCTTGTTTTGTACATTCACATTAAACTCCTTTTTTTCCTCACTGGAATTCTCAATTTTATATCTGATGGATTTCTAGCCCTCCTGGGATGACTTCCTTTATATAATTTTAGGGATGTTATGACATAATAGCAAACATTTATACAGTACTTTCAAGGCTTGCAAAGCATTTCACATATACTATATTATTTATTACAACTGAATAGATGCTATTATTATCTCCATTTTATAGAGGAAAAAAGTGTTTTTGAGAAAGATTAAGTGACTTAGCCAGTGTCACGTGGCTGCTGAGCATCTGAAGCAGGGTTTGAGCTCAGGTGTTCCTGATTCCAAGTCTATCCACTCCTGATTCCAACTCTATCTAGCTTCCTTCACTAACCACAATCAGAGGTCACTTAATCCAATCTTCTCATTTTTAGAGGCGCAGAACTTGCTCAAAAAGGTT